ACTATAAAGTACTAAGTAAAGAGTAAGTGATGCCATCTGTGGTGGGAAATTTTTTGAGAATCTGGAAATTATCTTAGTATGATTTTATGTTCTAAATCAGGGGTTGGTAAACTTTCTTACAGGGCCAGAGAGATAGTAATAATTTTAGGCTTTGTGGGATATTTGGTCTCTGTAGCAACTACTCAACTCTGCTGCTGTATTGTGGAAGTAGCTACAGACGACACTAAACGTACGTGGGTGGCTGTGTTCCAATAGAACTTTATTGGCAAAATAGGTGGCTTGCCCCAAGACTCTCACTTGCCAACGCCTATACTTAGACACTTGCAGATCACTTTGGTGCATTACATCCTTTAAATCCCATGACAAATCTGGAAGGTGGGTCCTGTCACCCCCATTTTACAGGTGAAGACACCTGGGCTCCAGGGGTTATGTGGCCTGCCAGTGGCATAGTCAGTGCTCGGAACTGGGATCTGAACTCAGCCCTGAATCCAGAGTCTGAGCCACATGACCCAGTGTCATGTGCTTTTTAGGTCGTAGCAGCGTACTTAAAGAAGATACATGCCTGAAATATGTTGGTGCTGCTATTTTTCTTATTAGAAGGTGGAGAAATGAGTCTTTGGTTGGGGTGGCTAACTCAGAAATAGGATATCTATGATTTCAGAAGTAAACAGGAGGATAGAGATGGTTGACGAAAAAACTAAAAGATAATTAAGACAGAAAATGCCTATTATAGTTAAAAACAAATATAGATAAAAACAAAATTCTTCCCATGGAACCCAAAAACTGCATGGGTGAAGGAAAAACATCAAAGAAGCAGGTGACCTGCGAGAGGTGACCTGCCCACATATTCTTTCTTTTTTTTTTTTTTGCCTTCTTATCTCCCATTTTCTGTTCTTACCTCCTCAGTTGCCCACTCAAAAGACATGCTTACATTTGAAGAAACATCTCCTCCTGTTATTTCCTATATTACTGCCTGAAGTTCAACTTCAAACATTTTACACTCTACCAGCACTCCTATTTTGCACCTCACCTTCTCAAGCATATCCATTTCAGAAGCTCCTTAACCTCATCAGGATCTCCAACTTTCACGGGGTTGCACTTCTTGTATTCACACTTCCTTACCCAGGGAGGAGTCCAGGCCCATTGCTACCTGTCACTCTAGGGCACTCTTCATCTGTCCCTTTGCTGATCTCTGTTCCACTCATCTGTCAGAGTGTAACAACTCCGTCTACCCTATACCTGCACCCAGGCGGCTGAAGATGGCTGGAAGAATAAAAGGTTGGTGCAAGACTCACTTGAAGTTTACCTTGACCAGACTCTGTGACCACCTTACTATACTTCCCTGGTTAACTTATTTTCTGAGTCTCTGAGCTGATTGTTACTCCCTTGCTGTCCAGACTGTCCAAGGCTTCTATTTTGCTAAATTTAATGGTCATTCCCAGTCCTCACCTAATTCAATCACTAAATAACATTTGGCACAGGTGACCATTCCTATTTGAAACACGTTTGTCATTTGGCATCTGGGACACCTATGGGACATCAGATGGGCTTTCTATCACACTGCTGCTCATGTCAATCACTCCTCTAGACCCCCGTGGTGGCATGTTCCAGAGCTCAGTCCTCAGTGTCTCTGTCTTGTCTCTGGGTGAGAGTTTCTCAGCCTCGGCACTAATGACGCTTTGGGTCAGCTCACTCTGTGCTGTGGGGGCTGTCCTGGGCATTGTAGGCTGTATAGCAGCGGTATCCCTGTCCTTTTCCTACCAGATGGCAGCAGCACCTGCACACCAAGTCCTGCCCCTCTTCCCCCCATAAGCTGTGCCAATCAAAATTATATCCAGGCATTGTAAAGTGTCCCCTCGGGGAAAAATCACCTGTGGTTGAGAACCAGTGATATAGGTAAACTCAACCAATCCCTTGGCTTCAAATGCCATTGAGGAGCTGATGAGCTGCAAATATATACCCCAAACTCCAACCTTGCCCAAGCTCAGGCCTGTATATACAACTGTCTTCTTGACCTCATTATTTGGAGGTTGTATTTGTACTTATTTATTGTTTGTCACTCCAATAGATAGTAATCTTCTGGGAGGTGGGGGGGATTTGAATAATCACTATTTATCTCTAGAGCCTATACAATATGGGGCATACAGTAGGTGCTCAAAATATATTTGCTGCTAAAAGAATAAATAACATATATTAATTCATTTCAGGCAGTTAATCAATGGTGGGTCAATCAAGTAGATAATTTTAAACACATCAAGGCAACTTTTTAAAAGACACCTTTATTGAATTTCAAGATAAAAAAGTCTTTATTTTTAAATAAATGTGCAAATAATACTAATGTGACCTATTAAATTTACTGCAGTTAAAATTTTGTTATAGTCTTGAAAATAACAAAACCTGAGTTTCCGTTCTTTCAATAGTTTTGTTCTACTCCATATTGTTATCATGTTTCATTTCAATTTGCAGTTGTAAATATGTATGAATATTTAAACACATATTTTCTTATTTCAAATAATAAATGTGACTTTCGACTATCACGATGCCAGTTAGTTGCTAATTCTGAACTGCAAGTCATTTCTTCAGTTCTTATCCCTTTGGTGCGCTTTATGCTGTATTTACAGTGAAGAGGAGAAGGTGAAGCTGTGCAAGGGTATATGAATTCTTCTATTTTTAAAAAATGCTTTATGGATAATAGCTACATTTATGTAACAATTAATATTCTATAATATTTATAACAGCTATATTTATGAATAAGCTGTAATGAGTTATGGTACGGTTATTCATGTTTTCTCCTCCTGGGTAAGTAATAACCAAGCATACCTCCTCCTCGCCCCCATTTGGCTCTCACATTTAACACTGCATATATGTACAACCACACTACCCTCATTCCTTAAAGAACACAAATATTTTTATCTTTTGGTCCAGACATTTTTTGCCATAAATATCCTTGGTTTATTTATTTACTTGAGTGTTTATTTACTAGGTATGCAGACTTTTGTGTATTTCTTTATGCAAATTTCCTGAGGTTCCTGTATCAATTCTTCTTTGAATAGAATTGAATAATGTGTTAATGATTAGTGTAGTTGGACATGAGGGCATTTTTAAAGTTTTTACGTAATAGCTCACAGGTACTAATATTAATGTATGCACTGCACAGGACCTTAACCCAAATCCGATTAGCTCTATGGATGTTATAAGCTTGCATTCCATACACTTATCTGTGCTTCTGAGTGTTTTTTTTCCTTCTAAAAAACTTATGGGTAAAATACATATAACATAAAAGTTACCATATTAATCATTTTTAAGTGTATAGGTCAATAGTGTTAAGTACATTCACAATGTTTTGCTGAATTTTTAAATGACATCTCTGTTCTACACACTTTAACCAATACAATCATGATATTCTGTTAAAACTACAAAATGCATTGGCTTCAGTATTATTCTTTCAACCACTGCCAATTTCGTACAAATTGATGAAAAATAATTGCCAGAGAAGTATTTTTCGAAAATCTTTCACATTAAAAATTTGCCACAAAGGACTATTAAATTTAATACCTGATGAAATCTTCAAAATTATAAAAAGTTTTTATGCTCGATCTTTCATCACTTATCAGTAAATTGAAATGTTTTCAGAAAAGGGTTTAAAATCACTAGCTTTCCTTTCTGAATGATTTTTTTCCACTTAGATAATTCTAAATATAAATTTTAAGGAGAGATTTAAATCATATCAAGACACTAATGGTACAGGATTTGATTAACTTCTGGCCAAAGATTCTTGGTATGTTTAAAAATGAATGTGTTCTCCCAAATCTTCAATATAAATGAATGCAAGTTGTCTTGAATACGAGTTGCCTTGAATATAAGTTGATTGGGTCACTTAAGGACTAAAAATTATAATATTTTTAATACAAGCATAATTTGTTTAGTAAAAAGTTTTACAAAACACAAAATCTCACCCATTTTAATAATAAAAATAAAGCAAGCAGACTACAGCAGCTGGACTTTAGAACTAGAAGTGAGAATGACTTAGCTTAGCCAATCAAATGGACAGAACCACTTCTCCCATAAGGAGCCTGTCTTGAGCATTTCCCCCTCTCCTGAGGAGTGTGGGTGGAGTGATTCACCCACAAAGACACTGTTGCTTTCTTGGACTAAAATACCATGCAGTCTGTTTTCCACACAGAGTGAATTTCTAAGGAAAACACATCTTGCCCTCTAAATCTTGAAATGTTCAGAGAATGTGACTCAGTTGGCCTTCCTGCTGGAAGGAGGCTAAACAGAAAATCCTTTCATTGTGGACACTTTCTAAAATATCTCTGTGTAATTGTGAATACTTCTAAAGAAAATGCAGTGTGTTTGCAGGCAATAAGGTTGGACCTGGTTGGTGGCATTGCTTCTCTCGTTAGCCTTTTTCCAATGCAAAACCAATGCAGCACAATAAACACTATTTAGCTTTTCTCTGATGAACAAGGATCAGTAAACGCCTATTGGCAACATTCTGTACATTAATTTTCCCTATTTATACTGATACAGGTAGTCTATAAAAAAATGGAATGAATATACTCTGATCTCAGGCTATGCTCTGGAATCTCTCTCTCTCTCTCTCTCTTTAAATAAGTGTCTGGTGTTAGATTTTTCATGTGCCTTTGGCCTGCTCCTACAAGTGAACATCCAGACTCACAGAAGACCTAGCCAAACAACTGTTAGATATTAGGGAATAAAGTTCAAATTAAGAAAAAAACCTTTTGATCTGTCTTAACAGTTATCTTAGCAAAAGATAATGCTAATTAACATAGGTACCTGTCTGGGTGTCAGGTCATCTACAGTACATGCCAATTTTTACAAAAGACCAGTTTTGGCCATTGACACCTACACATTAGGAAGGTGGAACTCTCCCATCTGTGTACATATGTGTAAGTGCTCCTATCTGAGCACCTTCTGTGTACATAATGCCCTGAAAGTTATTAGTGAGGATAAATATTTGGTTCTTCTCGAGCTACCTTCACGTTGAATGTTATTTCCTCCATGACGTACACGCGTTCAGGAAATGCTTTAGCCACCTCCTCCACACTGTTGAAATATTGCACTGGCTCCTTTATATCTCGATCTTGTTCCAGCAGCTTGAATTGGCCTAAAACACATGATAAATGGAAGAGATGTGAGATGTTTATGCTGGACAGCTGTCACCATGGCGACAGCATCCTGTTCCTCCCTCCCACTCTTCTTATCAAAGGCTTCTGATCACTATCATTAAAAAAAAAAGTTACCATGGCAGAAGGTTTTCTGAAACATCAGCTTAAAAATGAAAACAGACGTGTATGTATTTTTTTTGCTTATATTCAGAGTTTATTACCAGAGGATCAAAATCAAACTGAATGGACGCTCACTTGTACTCTGATCTCAAAGTAAAAACTTACTCTGTTATAAGTGGCTGCTCATTTTGTCTTTAACAGTAAGTCACATTGCCATTTAGTGGTAATAACACGACTATACCTTATACTCTAAAACCAAGGCCAAGTGGCTTTGGGGACTATGGGGACTACTTTTTAAAATTAGAATTTTAAAAATTTGCAAGTAGATAAAACAATCTAGTGAGTCCTCAGCTTTCACAGATATGCTCAGCTCCAAATCTACGCAGGCGACGCTGAGGGCTCCCAAGGTGCTATACTTTGGGATGTTGCTACGTCACAAGCATAAAGCCTGAGCACAGAGCAGCTGGGTGGGGTGTGGGTGGGGTGAGCTTTGTTCTAATGAATGAGCCACTGGGCATCTGCAGCAACAAGTGGCTTCCTTCTTTCCTTTTTACTGGCATGTAGGAAATTCACAAGAGTAAACAATACTATTGTGGTATCCGTAATTTGGGGGATTTTTGAAGAACTTTGAACATCTTCCTAAAAAGGTCAAGGATTTATTATGTTGTTTATACATTTTCAATATTTATGATACTACTGCTACAATCTAGAGGAGTTGTTTTCAGTTTTGAATAAAAGACCATATGTAATTAAGTCAATGACATGGTGTTTCTCAGTAGTCATTTTCTGAATGCTGTTTACAATATAACACTTGAGAAACTTGAAAAGGAATTAAAAGCTATTCTGAGGCAGATCTCTCAGCATGTGCATATGGAGCATCAGGCAGAAACAGGGGAACTTTCATTCATACTCTCAACACATTTATTTTTAGTATTTATTGGGTGGAGGCATTATTTTAGATGCTGGAAATGCTCAATAAATAGACTGGGCAAAAACTCTTCCTCCTGAAGCTTACACTGTAGTGGAAAACAGATGAAAATATAATAAGTGAGTACAGTATGTAATGTGTTAGAGGGTGAGAAGTACTATTAAAAATAGAGAAAAGTGAGGTGGGCGGAGACAGCAGGGTGGCCAGAGTTAGGTGTGCTTGAGGTGACCTTTGGTGTAGCTGGGAGCTGAGTTCTCAGGGTTATAAACATAGGCAAAGACCCTCAGGAGGACGGTGAGTGCTCGCTTGGCATGCGGCCTGTGTGGCTGGAGCAGGGTGAGTCAAGGGTAAGAAAGAAGAGAAATAAAGTCAGAGAAATAAAAGGTGGTCAGATTGTGCACACACATGAAGAGTTGTAACTCTTCATCTGCGTGGAATGAGGCGCCCCTCGGGGGAGAATAGGTGATCACATCTACGTTACAGAAGGATCACTCTGGTTGCCGTGTTGGGAACAGACTATGGAGGTGCAAGACACAGAAGCAGAGTTAGAAGCCTCCTGCAATAATCCCAGTATAAGATGGCAGGGATTTGGAAGCAGAGAGAAAGTACTGGGAATCTGGCCTGAGCAGCTGAAGGAATGGAGCTGCCATTGGCTGAGACGGGTAGGACTGGAGGGGTGGGGGTAAGATCTGGCGTTCGGTCTGGGCGGGGTAAGTCTGATGTCGATTAGACATACAGATGGAGACAACCCAAAGGCTCTTCGACGGACATACAATTGTGGAGGTCAGAGAAAGGTCTGGTTGGAAATAATAAATCCGGAGTCATCAGCACATAGACGATATTGAAAGCCATGACCCTTTAATGATGATGACCCGGTAGACAGAGAAGAGGTCTATGATTTAAGCCAGGGGCCTGAGAGGGAGTGGTCAGGGGAGTAAAAGGAAAATTCAGAAGCATGAATTCTAGAAGCAAGGTGATTCTAGTGAGGAGTGAGAGTGTGTCAAATGCTGCTGATAGGACTGTGACATGAGGACAGAGAATAGTTGAATTTAGCAGCTTGAATTTATTGAGGACTTGGATACAAGCACTGGAGTAGTTGGGCCAAAAGCCTGACAGAATTAGATTTAAGAGAGACTGACAGAGAAGAACTGGGAATAACAAGAATGGATGCCAGATGATGTTTTGGGGAGTTTTGCTATGGAGGTGAAAGAGAGTTGGAATGGTAGCTAAAGGGAGAGGTGGAGTGGCAGCTAAAGGGAGGAAGTGGAATGGGACGTGGGGACTGTTTTTGTTTTTCTTAATATGATGGATGCGGACGGGCATGGCCAACAGATGATGAGAAGAATTACTGGAGCATATCCTGGCGTAGGCGGGGGACATCGAGTGGAGGGGCTGGCCTTCAACAGCAGTTCATCAGTGATGAGTTCAGTGGCAGCTGGTGGAAGCTGTCTTTTATTGCTTCAATATTTCCAGCAAAAGTCAGAAGGAAAGCATCGGTTGAGAGTAGGGTTGAGAGAGGAGGTGTTGGGAAGGTTAAGGACAGAGGAAAAGACTAAAAAGTCTGGTGACAGTGAGTATCGTCATATAACTGCTGGGCAGCTGTGAGTTCCCACGTGAGGTTCATGGTCATGAATTAAAAGTGAAACCAAGCAGTGCAGTTTCGTGGTTTTCCTCCAGCTAATGTCTGATCCACAGGGGCTTGCACAGAGCAGGCAGAGAATTGGAATCAGCCTGGATGGTGACATTACCCAGTGAGTATGAGACCTCAGAGAGGGCACAGGAGTCAGGAGTCAGGACTATGATGATGGTCCACTGAACTTGACCTGGACCAACACCGTGGGAGGGAGGGAGAAAATGAAAAGAGTGGTGGGGTCCATGGATCGTAGGTTCTGATGGAGTTGATTTCTGTACCGTGGAGGGAGTGAGCTCAAGAGGCAGGCACAGGACAGCTGGTCCAAGTGGCACACATGCCACTGAGATAAGGGAAGTACGCGGTTTTTGGTGATAGTGTAGTGCAGGGGGCAAGCGTGAGAGATAAGGCTGAGGTGGTGAGGAGCTCCAGGAACTGAGGAGCTCCCAGGAGCATTGCAAGAATCGTGTATGTAAGCACGAAAGGAGAAGTGTTGCTGGAGAGAATGGCGTTGAGCCAGGAGTGAAAATCACAGAGAAATGAAGGTGGGATCATAAGCTTGGTGGACGACTGTAACAAGGATGGGGTAGTGGGTGATACAGTCTGATGACAAGAGGCTTAAAGCGGAGAGATTTTAGGGAGGACTGAGGTGGAATGAGTGGTCAAGTTTGTAACGAAAAGCACAGAACCCAATTATATCCCCTCAACTTTGGGGCAAAAATAGCGCTGCCTCTGGGAGGGTGTCAGGGAAGCCACGTTTTCAGGTGACATCCAGGTTTGGATTTTACAAGATCAAAGTAATTTCAGAGAAGAGTGCGAGAATGTAGGGATTTTACTGGTGATAAACCTTGATGGGAGAGTTTTCAGAAGATAAGGAGTAGGCGATGAGGACAAAATAGAGGATGCACTTAGGCATAACATAACAGCTCGTATACCTTTTGGAAGCATAGAGAGGCATGAATAATACATTTGAAAATATAGTCAAAATATATTAATTATATCCTTTTCACAAAAAACAACAGATTTAAAAAAAAGATTATGGCAATTTCAATATACTTATTTAAACAAAATTGCTACAATAACAAATTAAACTTTTCATTTGTCTTTTACATAGTCCATGCACAAATTCTTTTTTTAATTTTTAATATTTTTTATTTTTGAATATTTTATTGCTGTCCCAGTACAGTTGTCCCAATTTTTCCCCAAATGCACAAATTCTTAATAACTATAATGAATTTACATTTTTCTACTCTGTTCCTTCCCATATTTTTCTACATTTTAACTTTTTTTTTTATTCTTACATAATTAGTCTGAGTTAGGCAGATGCCTCATTTAAGTGCAGGCTCTGCCACTGACAAATTTTATGATACTGACAAATTAGTAATCCGTCTGAGCCTTGTTTCTTTGCCTATAAAGTGGGGACACTTCAAAGAGCTGCTGTGAGGATTAACTGAGATGACACATTTAAAGTATTTAGCAAAGAAACCATTTAGCAACTCTCAGCTCCTTTCTTCTTTTTGAGATGCAGAGACTTTTTTTTCTCTTTTTGGCTCACATTTTTTACATACATTTTCTAGAGTGGGATTATTACATCAAAGGGTATCAACAAGGTTCTTTGTGCTTAACATGCATGGCTCTATTGCTTTGCAAAACACTTAAACCAACTTATATTTCTACCAGTAGCCTATGTGCATCCTAGTTGGATGACAGTCTGCCAGGACTGAGTATTTTTTAAATTCGACAATTCAATGGGCATTAAAGAGCATCTCTTTTCTGTATTAATCTGCAGCCCTTTGAAGATTAGTGAAGTTTAAACAGTTGAATGTTTCTTGTGTAAACAATTGAATAAATATATAATAAACATAGTTGATACAGTCTAAATTTCTTTTAATGTCTGCAGACACGTATCTAAGATTCTACTTGATATTTATACTTATAAATCCCATCAGCACCAAGTTCAACCTGTTTAAACTCAAGGAAGCACAATGCCTCACATGCAATAGGTGATTAATAAATGTTCACTGAACAAAAGACAGAAGGTTACTTTAATCCTGAGATGGGCAAACAATGAAGCAATGCATTAGTAATTGCAGTTTTTCAAAGTTATAAATAAAAGGCAAATTACATTACTATACACAAAGTTTGTTTGTTTGTGAACATTATATGAATGTTTCACTCATCAGAATAAAAAAGCAATTGGTGTATTATTGGTCTACTTAAAAATCATTCTCTGAACACTGTAGAGAACCTCAAGAAATGCTTTTCAGGGACCAATGCAACCCAAGAGTAAGTTTGATGAGCAGCTGAAATTATTTTCCAGG